TTTACTTTCTCTCATAAAACATTTCTCTGAGTACCCCTGCATTCCTTATAACAACCATATCCATGATTATCTCAAATGGCTGATAAAGAAAACATGACATTCTTCCAGCAAGTTGGCTAAAACAGTATGCCCTAGAAATGATCTATCTGAACATATAATTATTCAAAGTTAGTCCCAAACTTTAGAGGGGTCTAACCAGCTATTTAGACAGGTCTCTGTTATATGTACAGATGATGTTTATTCAGGTCTCCTGGTTCCTGGAAAGAATGTTCATTTGGCTTAAAATATGGAAATAAATAAAAGCACTTCTCATCCTAAAACTAGACAAATTAGAGGGAAGGGTTGGAAATATTCTTCTGAAGCCATTGAGTAAAATGCTAAGAAATCAAATCAGAAGGGTAATTTTTCCAATTCACATGGCAAAAAAGCAGCAGGGTCAGAGATAGTGAAGGCATGTATAGGTGTAGATACCAAGCTTAGGGAAGCTGTGCAGAGCTCTGGTTATCAGTTCCTCAGCTGACCAATGGAACCTGCTTTGTACTCAGTAAGTACCATATCAGTTCATTTAGTTACACAGTGTGTTAATATGTAATGTTGTATAGCTATTTAAATACCTTTGTCCCTTTCTACCCTATGGTTTATCTTGCATTATAGGTCATCCCAGTAAATATATAAAGTCTTGTGAGACAAGTTACAAGATGATATATTACAAAACAAAATTTTTGTTGAAAGAATTTGCTTTATGTCTCATAATCCCTTAGAGGATTTAAAGTTCAACATATGTACAGGAACTGAAATAGTTTAAATTTGATCACAAACTATATACAACTTTGGGGGTTTTTTGCTTTTTCTGACATGTTTTATAAGCAATTTATTAAAAGATTCTCAAAAGTGCTAGTGATGCATGACATTTTCAAAACCAAGTAAAAGACCTATAGAACAATAAAAATTAATCACAATAAAAGTATTTTAACATATAGGACACAGAAATTATCCTTTAGGTTTTTGAATCATAGTTCTGAAAAACTATTCAACTTTTTATTCAAGAATCCCAATTATAAAATCTGAGTATGGGCATGGTAATGCATGCCTGTAAATCCCAGTACTCAGGAGTCAGGAAGATCTCGAGCTGAAGGCCCGCCTGGGACACATAAGGATTTCAAGGCCAACCAGACTGCATAAAAGACTATCACAAAAAAACTAAGGGTTTTTTTTGTAATATTTTCAGTAAATATCCAAGATCCAATGTATATCCTACAAAATTAAGAAGAGTGAGGGAAGGGTGGGAGGGGATGAATGAGAATATTGAAAGAGGTGACACTGATCAAGGTATATTTTATTCATAAACTGCTTGGTTAAAGGGCAATACCTTTATATAGCTACTTAAAGATAGCAATAATAATATTTTTTTAAAAAACTAAGGCCTGGTACTCTTAGTTTTCCACCCCACTACCCCTTCCTTTCACAGATGCAGTGTATTTCTGTATTGTTCACCCTTTAGCTAACATTTTTCTTTCCCTCCTTCCCCCTTTCTAATCCCCTGAAGCATTCTCATAATTACAAACATGGGCGAGGGGTGTTGCACACATGCATACATGCACAAATGTGTGCACATGTGTGTGTGTGCATCCTAGCAAGAGAGTGAGTACAGAAGGTGAAGAAGATGAATATGGCCCAAATACTTTATGAATCTGTGTGCAAATAGAACAAGAAAGTTTGTTGAGGTTGGTATGAGAAGGGAGGGGGGGTGAGGGAGTCATGGAGGGGTGAGTTGGATCAAAGGTACATCGTAAGCGTAAATGCACATGTCAAAATGAAATTCCTGCCAGGCGCCGGTGGCTCACGCCTGTCATCCTAGCTACTCAGGAGGCTGAGATCTGAGGATCGCTGTTCAAAGCCAGCTGGAGCAGGAAAGTCCGTGAAACTCTTATCTAATAAACCACTAGAAAACCAGAAGTGGCACTGTGGCTCAAGTGGTAGAGTGCTCGCCTTGAGCGGAAGAGCACAGGGACAGCGCCCAAGCCCAGAGTTCAAGCACCATGACTAACCAAAAAAAAAAATAATAATAATAAATAAATAAATATGAAACTCCTTGTTAAAAAAAACTAAGGGCTGGAATGAGAAAAGGTATGGGAGGAAAAAACAGTCAAAAATTCAATGTTCATATGTGATGAAGGAAGTGGGAAACATGAAATGAATCTAGGGAAAGAGGTAGATAGGATGAAGAGAATGATGGCTAAGGTGCTTCTGATCAAGAAGCAGTAGGCATATAAATGGGCATGGTGAGTGTAATTCCCACGTACAACTATCTGAAATTAAACAAACAGAATAACTAAGGGAAGTGGAGATAGCTCAGTAGTAAAGACTTTCCCTAGCATATGCAAGGCCCTAGTCCTTCAGTTCACAGTAAGAACATATAGGCAGGAATGGAATGAGAAGAGGTGACTTACTTGTAGGGGCTGAGATCAAGGGGAATTGGGGGGGTAGATGAATGCAGAGAGAAAGGATGGGCAAATGCAGTCATAATGGTCAATATATATACTTGAAAATAGAACTAGGAAAATTGAGGGGATGGACAGGTGGGTTGAGAAAGATGGGAGAGAGTTATGAAAGGGGTAACATGGATGAAGATGCATTATAGCCACGCACCGGTGGCCCATGCCTGTGATACTAGCTACTCAAGAGGCTGAAGATCATGGTTCACAGCCGGCCCAGTCAGGAAGGTCCATGAGACTGCAGCTCAAGTGGTAGAAGGCTAGCCTTGAGCAAAGAAGTCAAGGACAGAGCCCAGTCCCTGAGCTCAAGTTCTAGGAATGGCACTTGTGTGAATGTGCGCTGCCCCCTCCCCCAACACACATATCATAAACTGATATGTTGAATGGAAACCCCTTTGTAAAGATAATCTTTATAAAAAATTGTAAGTAAATACTCTGAATGTCCTGAATCATCAGAAGTTTAAATTGCAAGGGACCAGTGCTCTAGCTCTCTATTTTGGTCATATGCATTCAACATATATATGATGGGACTGCACATGCTAACTACTTTTAATGTTAGAAGGATGTGTCATGAGAAAAGGAAGATCAAGGATGAGTGAAAAAGCAAGTTCATTTAGGAAAGTTTACATCTGTTCCATTTCTAGCTAATCCTAGATATCTACATTTTGTACTGAATTTATGAGGCATTTCCTCAATGGAATTCCATTATGCTGGTGCCACATGGTTCCTTCAAGTTGCAGAAGAATAGAGTGTGCATTTGTTCTCCCAGGTATGGATGAACTAAATAACAAGAATGTGTGTTCTATTTCAGATGTGTGTGAAAGTGGATTTTGTGACTTTTGACATTTCACTAGTAGCTTCTACGTATCTTAGTTCTGCACACTTCCTGAGACCCAGTACCCAGCTAAAACTCAGGCTCCTTTGCTGCTCTTATGTTTGCTGGCTTCTGTTCCACAGAAGACAAATACACCACATTTAGTAATCTGGAACTGATCTGAGTCTGTAGAATTTAGCAACCTGTAGAAGTACATTTCCTCTCATCTTTGTACATCTTATTTACCTTACTGAAAAATGTTATTTCTTTTTATTGTTCAAGGTGATCTAGGTTTATAGGTTATTATGGTTATTGAGCTAAGTGCTAGTGGTTCATGCCTACAATCCTAGCTACTTAAGAGGCTGATATCTAGGGGATATAGGTTCAAAACCAGCCTGGGAAGAAATCTAGAGACTTTATTTCCAAAACAGCTATCAAAAAGCTGGTCCAGAGGCATGGCTGCAATAGTAGCGTGCCAGCTGGGTAAGCAAGCCCAGTAAGCATGAGGATCTGAGTCCAAACCCCAGAATTGGTAATAATAGCAGTAATAATAACAATAATAGTAGATAAGTTTGAGTTAAGTACTCTAAGAATTGATGTTTATGATGAGTTGAAAAAGCAAGAATATGTAAAGGGCCAAGGTCTGTAATTGTGCACATGGTGGCAGGCTGGACAATAAGATTGTGGTATGAAAACAGAGTGAAGAAGGGACTCTTTTTTTTAACTCACTTCTAAATTGTCAAGGTTTTGACTGATTATGGAAATAAATTCCGTCCTCTGCTTTTTTGAGACAACATGAAAAGACAACGTGCACATTTACAAAGAATTCTTATCACTTGATTGCATATAAAGTCCAGAAACTGCTAAAGTCTCAGTTTGGTTCTTTGGAGAGGTCAGTTCCTTTACCAGACATTGCTTGGGTTCTCTGATGAGCACAAAGTCTACCAAGATGAGTAATACCTGGTGCATGACAGGATGGGATCTACCCCAGAGCAATGGATTTGGCAAAAATGGGAACCATCATCAATAGGGATACCCAGCTCTCACTTGACTCTTAATTGGCCTTCTGTAGACTCCATTTTTTTTTCTTGGCTAATGCAGTTTGACATGCATCATCCTTTTAAACATCAAATTTAGGGTTAAGACTCAAGTTACTATTGCCACCTTTACCCCCAACAAGTCCTTGGGAGGAAAAAGAAGTCCCCTGAACATACTTACTTAGCTTTGGCAGTGGCACACAGATACTGTTTTATCTGGAGCCTCTGCAGAGGAATGTGGAGACTAGGACAGCAAACGGGGCAGCTGATGACTTCGAATCCAATTTTACTGTCCGCTGAACGCAGGGAAATAGTTTAAACAGAGTGGCAGAGACGCGAATGGCTATGTTGAACACTAAATTGTGCTTTATTTTTTTCCTTTCTGCTCAACTTCGGGTTTCCATGCACCAAAATGTTGATGCTATAAATATGGGAGGCCGCGCTTACCTGACAGGCTTCTTCCAACACCCCCTGGGCCCCAGGGGCTCCAAGGCAGCTTAGGAACTGCGGCTGGAGCCTAACTCGTATGGCCCCAGCGGGCTGCTGGCCCGGGTGCTGGAGCCACTGCCCTGTGCTCTGTCCTTCGCAGCTAGCCTCCCCGGTGCAAGCGCATGCGCTCTCACCTCCCGCGGCTCGGCGCCCCGGGTCTTCAGAAGGGCAGTGGCTGGCCCGCTCCAGGGGGCGGAGCTTGCGAGGGGCGCCTGAGACCACGTGAGCGGCACCAAGATGGCGGCGCCCAGCGCTGTCCACCTGCTCGCCCGCCGAGGTGAGTACCTGCGGGAACAGCCCCGCGAGGGTTCGAACCCGCGCTCGCCGCGCGCCCGGGCCCCAAGCGGCACTGGGTGCTTCTCACACGCGGTGACACGCCGTAGGAATGCGGACGCGCACTTGTTCAACCTACTTTCTCCGGGTTCGCTTCACCTCAGGGTTACACGGTGGCCCACGGCGGGCGCTTCCCGGGGCCGCGCCGGGACTCGCGCGGGAGCTCGGCCTCCCGGGCGCGGCTCTGTGGGCGTGTCCCTTGAGGAACCCGCAGGTCCCGTTCCCTCCCGGCGAGCGAAGAGGACGGGTGCTGCCCGCGGACTGGCCGGCGGCCGTGGCTCGCAGGGAGGGCCGAGGGTTTAGTTCGGTCCGCCGGCGCGCCGGCGGCTGAGCGGCGGCAAGGAGCTGGTTCCGAGGCTCTGTGGGACAGAACTCGAAGGTTGTTCCGGGTCCGAGGGAGAAGAACCCGCCGTTGGAGAAGGAGCGGCTTGCTACTTAGAAGGCGGGCGCGTCGGCGTGCTGTTTGTTGGGAGGTAACTGTTGTTTTCGCAGCAGCGTCCGCCGTTGACTCCGTGTGCCCTTTACCTAGAACAGCGGTGATTCCTGTACCGTGCCGATTCGGGGGCCTCGGTGCCGTCCCCGAGTTCTGTGTTTTGGGGTCGTTTTGCTCCAGGCTAGCCAGCGCTCTACCACTTGAGTCATAGGGTAGCATGCACTTTGCTGCTCCCACTTGCTTCGAGAAAC